ACGTTGTCTTCGACCCAGTAACCCGTGTTGTTGACTACGACGACGACACCCTGACCGAGAACACCCGCTGCGCCTACCCCATCGAGTACATTGAGAACACCAAGATCCCCTGCATCTCAGAAGGCCACCCCAAGAACATTGTCCTCCTCACTTGCGACGCCCGCGGTGTTCTTCCTCCCATCTCCAAGCTCAGCCCCGAGCAGACCATGTACCACTTCATCTCCGGTTACACTTCCAAGATGGCCGGTACCGAGCAGGGTATCACCGAGCCCCAGGCTACCTTCTCTTCTTGCTTCGCTCAACCCTTCCTCGCTCTCCACCCCATGCGCTACGCCAAGATGCTCGCGGAGAAGATTCAACAACACGGCGCCAATGCCTGGCTCCTCAACACCGGCTGGGTCGGTGCCGGTGCTACCACCGGTGGCAAGGTAAGACAGTCCTGCAACAATATCCATTCAAAACACATGCTAACTATTTCCACAGCGCTGCCCCCTCAAGTACACCCGCGCCATCCTCGACGCCATCCACTCTGGCGAGCTCGCCAATGTCGAATACGAGACCTACGAAACCTTCGGCCTCTCCGTCCCCAAGACCTGCCCCAACGTCCCCGACGAGCTCCTCAACCCCGCCAAGTCATGGAACGGCACCGCCGACTTCAAGGGCGAAGTCGAGAAGCTCGGCAAGCTCTTCATGGAGAACTTCAAGAAGTACGAAGACCAAGCCACCAAGGAGGTCATCGAGAGTGGTCCACACGTATGCTGCTGCCCCAAGCACTAGACGGTTGTTTTTCGGTTCCGACATACCTTTCTTACTCTTTTGACAGACGGACTAGCGGATTTCCACTTCGATGTTTCTTTCTCCTTACGTTACAATCGAGCGGTCGAGCGGGTACCCTCCATCGACGTCAGCGGCTGTGCTTTCCTCTTTCTTCTTTTTGATTGGATGGTTGTAGGCATGCTATGTGCCTGCAGACGGGATTTGATATGATATCATGGCTTTATCTCTTTACTTTGCTAGATGCGTCTTATGAGCGCTTTGTCGCGTGTACATACACTTTTGGCGTTGGGTCCAGCTGAGCATTTCATGGCAGAAGACGAGAACGTAGCATAGCTGCTGTTGGAAGAGGAGAGAGAGAGAGAGACAAAATTATCATCATGTTCATCGAAGCGGTGTTCATTATGGTATAGGTGTGATTGAGGCTGTACCACTCTCGGAAGATACTTGGACCGCTTTCGAAAGGTATCTGTCGAGAGTGGTACATCCTTGTTCCACATTTATACCATAATGTATAGAGCTTTTGATGAAAGAATGGATCTTTTCAATCAAACACATTTACCGATGCTCTCTGTCTCGAAGGCATGAGGGTACCGAACTATTGAGTTCATGCTCTTGCCACTACTATTCGTTACTGCCATCTTAATACAAGCCATTCCAACCTCCTTCCAACCATCCCCATCTATCTCCCATCTCCCACATCCCCAAATTCACCACCAACTCTCTCACAAAACCGCCTCATCCATATTCCTAATCCACCCCCACATCCACATGACCGTATCCAAATGCGCCTGCACCCCCACCCTCTCATCCACCGTATGAATATTGCCCAAACCCACTTGCTCCCTATCCCAACCCGGTCCATACCTAAAGATATTCTCGCTCAAATCCCAATAGTAGCGCGTATCCGTGTTTCCAGTCATGATACCAGGACTCACTAGCAAATCTTTGCCGTAGAGCGCACGGGTTGTGCCGGACAGGATCTGGTAGGGCGTTGCGGTTTTGTTTGAGTTTGAGTTTGAGTTTGAGTTGGGATGTAAGAATGTGGGTGTTACGGGTGCGGGTTCTAGCATGGTGGGGCCGTGGGAGAGGGTTATGCTCGAGGGGGTCTCGGTGCCGTTGAAGGCGTGGAGGGTGAGATTGTGTTTTTGGGCGACTTGGGCGGCGAGGGACGCGATGTGCGTCTTCACGGCTGAGGAGCTGGAACCGACGTTTATGCGGTGGTTTACTGTGATTTGGGTTCGTTCGGGCAGGGCGTTTGTTTTTACGCCGCCGTGGATTATGTCGACGGCTACGGAGGTTGTGAAGAGGTATTTTATTCCTGGACCTGCTTTTGCTGCTTCGAGGGCGAGGGCGTCTTTGGAGGACTTCTTCGAGCAGGTTAGACTGCGTTTGGAGCGCTTGTCTAGGAGTTTGCCGAGGTGGTGCGGGAAATCTGGGGCGTGGGAGGCGCCGCATTGGAGGAGGCCTAGGTATGGGTTCTCGTCTGCGAGGTGGGGCTCGTAGGCGTTTGCTTCGATTAGGGTGATGAGCTCGCTGGCTACGCCGATGCCGTTGTGTGCGGGAGGGATGCTGCTGTGGCCACCGGGCATGCGTACCACGATGTCGACGTCGATGTAGCCTTTCTCGGCGACACCGGGGATGGCGAAGTTTGCACCCCAGCTTTCGACGTTTACGGCGCCTTCATCAATGATGGCGGCGATGGAGTTGTGCCCGAGCTTCTTTAATAGGTACTCTGAGAGATGGCCTGCGCCTTCTCGACCAGAGATCTCCTCGTCGAAGCCAAACGATAGGATCAAAGTTCGCTGAGGAGCAAAACCAGCAGAGATCAACGCCTCAACGCTGTTCAAGATAGCCAACAACTGGTTCTTGCAATCGCTCGCACCCCTGCCCCAAACAAACTTCCCATCGTAATGACCAGAAAACGGGGGATACGTCCACTGCTTAACTGTAGAGTCCGGAACAGGCACAACGTCCTGATGCGCCATGAGCAGATTAGGCTTCAAGCTCGCATCCGTGCCAGCCCACGTATACAGCAAGCCATGCGTGTTGACCTTGTCCAACTGCAATGTCGCGTGCGTCAACGGGAAAGTCTTCTCAAGGTAGTCGGCAAAGGAGTACATGATGTCCCAGCGCGGATCGGTCCCAATCTCGCCCATGTCGTCGTAGCTTTGCGTGGGGATCTGGACGGCGCCTGATAGGCGGTCGATGGCGACGTCTCGGAAGGCATTGGACGTCAGGTAGCTTTCCATCTCATCCAACTCTTTCGTCTTCCTCACCGGGAATAAAGGTTCGACCTGCGGACATTGCGCCTTCGAACCGGCATTGCTCAGCCTGGATGGAAGCTGCCATGGCGATGACACAGGAACAGTGATATGACGTAAGAAAGCCAAACCCGCTAAGCAAAACAAAGCGCTTCCAACGAATTGACGGTAGTAAGAGCGACTATACTGCTTCGACGGAACCGGAACAGGCGTCTGCGTTCCCCAATTCTTGCCCGCCATGGTGATGCTTGATGATGGTTAGAGTCTTGGTGTGTCTTGGTTATCGGATGTTGCGCGGGGATAAGTGGTGGTACGTTTGCGACTAGTCTCAATCAGGAAGGTATGTACATGGGCTTTGTCAGTATTTATCGGATCGACGAGATAATCGTATCTATGTCGCTGTTTGTTTGTTGTGTATGTCGGAAAATTATCCGACGAACGTTCACTTATCGAATGAGCGGAAGGCTTTTGTGCGTGGGTGGTATTTCGCAGTCAACGCGCACTTCTGAAGAAGACGCCATTTTCTGATCATGGTCTATTTTGGCATTCCTGCTTTATAGCTAATCATAGGCTAGTCGTTTGATCGGAGACACTCCATATCCAAATTCGTCGCCATAGACTGCTACAACGAACCCTCTGGCCACTTGTACTCCGGCCACGGGAAATCTGGATCGTACTTCTGCTGAAGTACAACACTTCCCGCCGGAAACGTTTTCTGTGAGCCATCAGGCATCTCCACCGGCTGCGCCTCATCAACAAAGGTCCACGCTGCGAGCAGACCAGCAGCCCGCGCAATCTCATCCTTGAGCTTCCCAAGTTTATCTGGCTGGGGAGAAAACTTCTCAAGCAGAGCTTTCTCCCTAGTCTCCTCGAATTCTCCTGGTTCAGCCATAACTTCCACATCCTGATCACGCTGCTGCTCTCCCATATCCATTCCACCGCAATCCGACACCAAGGGCTGGAAGAAATCATTCTTCAGCGGTCGCTCCACTTCAGCATTGTCCAGATCCTCGTCGATATCGATATTGGCAATCTCGTAGTTGATGTACGTCAGAGCCAGATATTCCGTTTTAACAAGGAGCTTCACGACTACTTGTGTACTTTCTGCTTGTCCCTCTTCCACCATTTCGTCGTCGGCAAAGGCATCCACATACCAGACTGCACTCCTCTTCACTGCATCTTCGTCAATGACGACGAATGGAGATTCTCGGCCTGCTTCGTTTTCTTTGGCGCGCATGTATTGATGGGATTTGCCGCTGTAATCATCGGGAGGTTTTGTGATCTTGAGCTCAAGAAGTGGCTGGAATCGAGAGCAGGCGCCCAGTTCAAATTCTGTCTTGACTTTTGCGAGCTCGTTGTGGTTCAATGGAGCCAGGAGATATGCTGTGAGGCATGTGACGTCGAAGGGAGGCGAAATGAATACCATGATGATGGTGAGATTGGTAGTGGCAGAAGGGGTTGAATGTGAGCATTAACAAGGATTGGTATTTCCTGACTGTTTATATGTGATGCATACTGTATGTTGATTCTCGCGTTGCTAAAGACATTGATCTCGGCCATGCAGGAGACGAACGATTGACTACAGTTACGCTCGCGCAGGCAGCAACATCATTCAGCCACCAACTGCTATAACGGGACTAGCGCTTAGCTCGCCAAGCCCACCAAAGTCCGCATGAAGCTGAGCTACCTTTCTTTGGTCGTAGAACCCTGAAAGTATCTAGACGGTGTACAATTTGGCTGAGTCGGAATAATGTGACTAGGTACATCCGCAGGGCGAAGCAAGAGCATGCGCGTTAGGCTCCAGGCCGCAGAGCTAACCGAGCTTCCGAAAGAGAGGGCGAGGCATTCAGCGTTGAATAGATGACTCTTACCGTCTAGGTGTTTTACTCGTTCCATTTAACCTCCTCTCACAATACCGCCCTGGCCAAGAATACAACTATCGCCATATCTCCATCTCAAAACATGACCGACACCCAACGATCTAAACCCACGATGGCTGTCGCTCCAATCAAGGAGAGCCAACCCTCAAAGTTAGATGCTTTCCTATCAGCACACCCCGAAATCCAGATTGGTCGCGCCGCCTTGGAAAGCCTCCAATCTGCCCACGATGGCAGCGACTCATTCTCCATCATCAACAAGCCGTTCGTAAACATGGTGCTGTATCAAGAGTTCAATGCGGATACGAGAGAGCGCATATACGTCGTCGCATTGATTGACGACCAGAAGGCTCTTGATCAATATGAACAAGACTGCGGTGGCACTTCGAACGAAGATGGATGCGATTGTGCAGAGAACCAAGGGCCCGAACACATGATTTACGAGCGTGTCGTCGAGTACAAGAGCGCGGATTGCGAGGACCACAAGGATGAGCCGGAGCCAAACCCTGATTGTTCTCAGTGCTGGCCAGTCTTGTGTGGGAGTAAATGCGCTCCGTGAAGTGCCTGGGCGACGAGCAGCATCACAAGTTGAAGGTCCTGTACTGTTTGGTTTCGTAAATCTAGATTTCGCTAGCAAATAATCAGGCCGACACTGAGCTTCGCTGTCGGCTTAGCATCAGGCTGTGTCACGCGGCGAACGCAGATCATTTGTAGTGAGATGAATTGAATGGTGGAAGCGTATAGCTGGCTAATTAGCGACTTGCTGATATCATAAAGTGGTGTAAAGGTAGCACCGGGCAATTGCTCTCAAGATGTTGGCGTCGACCCCTGACTGCGCGTAAAGCCGGCCAATCAACGACTTCGGCCCCACCTGAGGCGAGAAAAACCTTGGAAGTGTGACATCTCCATCTCACACCTACTCGAGTCCAGCAACTCTCTCGCATCAGAACTTACGTGATGGCCCCTCCTCGTGACGCTCTGGATCTCAGAGCTACTCAATTGTCTGTTGGCGTAGCATAGCAAGCTGCTTCTGGTAATCCTCCTTTGCTTGCTTTGCCTCGTCGATTCCCCAGCGCCCATCCCTCTCCAGTGTGTATATTTTCTCTATCTTTTTAATCTGCCGCAGGTGAGCTTCTGCCTCGGGCCCAAGAATCCCCAACAAAGTACCAGCCGGAAGGTCTTCTTTCTTACGGATGATCTCACGCCACTCGTCGGTTTGGCCATATTTTGGCGCGTGTTTATTGAAGTCAGACGCAAGTGCGCCACTGTCGCTTGTGTCGAATCTCTCTCCAAAACGAACGCCGTCGCGCATGTCAACATCCAGGCAACTATTGATGTAGCGTTTGACCTTTGGAGGCATATCTCGAAATCTGGACTGGTACTCTAGTACCTTGATCATGTCGACAAGAATGGTGCCTTTTGGTAGCTTGAATCCAATGTCGGCTAGACCCTGCCGTGTCAAAGTCGGTCGATGGAAACAGACGCAGATTGTTGGATACGTTGATGACAGGTCACGGAACATCTTTTCGAGACCCGCGACGGCCTCATTGGCCGATACAAAGCTGGATTGCATAACGTTTGGCTTCCCGTTCCATTTGGACGGCACCCAGAATCGGTACTCGTGCGCTTTGTTCTGTCTTTCATCGCTTTGATCCTCAGTGCTGGATACTGCTGGGGATGCTGGGGTGGTGATTTCCACAGACAAGACTCGCATCGCTTCGACTTGCTTCCAGTAGCCCCTCGCCTCGTTACAGGATATCCAGCCGTTCCAGGAATAGGCCAGACCAGACGGAGCCCACTCCATTGATACCAGAGCGACATGCGGTTTGTCCCAGCAGCGAGCCAGGGTTTCATTTTCTGTTGCGCATTCCCGTATTCTCTTCATCTCGCTTCCAGCGACGAGACCAGTCGGTGGTATCATGGCAATCACTGGACGGATTGGTCTGATGCTGTTAGGATGTAAGTAGCTGTCAATAAAAAAGCTAGCTGCACTATAAGAACTTACACAGAAGACGAGCAGGAAACCAAAAGAGGGCGAGAAGCTCGTACGTCTAAGCGCGGTAAAGAGAGGAAAGAAGTGAATAAGAAACGGATTCCATCAAAAGCTACTGTCGAAGACTTGTTCTCCGACTAGCGCTTACGCTCTGAGAATAGGATTCCAATGTGATGATGTGCTCAAAATCAACAGTACCTATCAGCCTCAAGGCAGCAGCACAGCCTCGTAACATATGATCCCAAACTCATGGTGGCTGAGTCGATGCCAAGGAGATTGTACCAACCCGATCGACCTTGGCCAATGATAACATGGACACTGGATACAACACTAATATGACTGGAAGCCCTACTTGTCCAGATGCATTCCGATGATGTGGTGGGGGGAAGCGCGCGCAGTTATGTGCGAGGTGGGGTTAGCATACATTAGGTCATCGGGCGTACCACCCTGGAGGAAATAAGCCACCTATCAACATCTTTGCAGATTGTAAGATCAACAAGACACTCGCATCATTCTTGTAATTCGCCCGTTTTACACATCAGAGAGGTATTAGAATTACATTCACTTATCGCGTAGCGAAGAGGGTACTAGTGCAAACGGTTTATTTCCTATTGAATGTCTACTTTAGTCGTGCAGACTACACTATCTCAATACCCTGTGAGTCTATGTATTAAGACCCAGCCGGAAAACGACCAAGAGCTCCAGCCGTGTTGAATATCGCAACTTCCCGTCAAAGTAACCGTCTCGCTACCCTTCCCTTATCACAATCCGTCTTCGACCGTACCATGTATCCACTTGGGTAGATAGACGTCTACTGAACAGGCGGTCCTTGCATGTTGCTCAAGTTCTCCGGGATGGGCTGTTCGCGCATCTGAATCCAGAACTCTGGCCATTCGTCCCTGAGATGACCTGTAGGTGATGAGAAAGCTCACGGTTAGTCCATCTTGTGAAGCGTATCCAGTATGCGTAATGGAAGAAGCAAAATCATCATTGTTTCTCAGCCCAGATTAATACTTACCGATGAGATTGACGAAGCCCGAACGAGGAGTGAGCTTGTAACCGCCTTCGTAGGGCTCGAAGTGGTCCGCGGCGCTGCCAGGGTGGACTTGGTCGAACATGGTCCTGATGTCGGTCAAGGTAACTTGGTTACCGGACTTGAGGAAAGTAAGGATTCCGGGGAGGTGGCCGGCTTTGGTGGGGATCAGATCTGAAGCGACGTTTGGCATTGTTGTTGGGGTTTGTATGCTTGGGTTTGTTGCAAAGGGAAGAGGATTGATGATGTTGAACTGTGTTTCTCGTTCTCAAAAGTGTAGTGTTTATGGAAGAGGGATATATGGTTTCTGATGGCTTGTTTATATACTGGGAGGGAGTGAGATATCGCAAGACCGAATGAGTAGGATTTCGAGGTGAGTGAGAGAGTGATTGCACGTGGCTAAGTCTTGTGGAAGGAGTATTCTGAAAAGTGCTGCAATGCGCAAGGCAAAAATAGTTAGCTATCTCTTGATAATAGTAGGACAATAGCGCGTGATCGAAAGTGTGTATACTTTCTTCAGGTTCACGAATCGCGTGTCATTGTGTAGATGCACGTGCACGAACTGAGCGTAGATTCATGAATCAATCTATTTAGAAGACTACAGATCTGAGGGGAATGGTTGAGTACAATGTGAGAGTACTTGCATAGGGTATCTCTTTGAAGGAACCATTGTTTGTGCAAGTCGCTTTTTGTGTTAAATGAGAGTAGACTCCACCACTACAGTATAGCCCAATTACCAGTCCCATCATGAGAAAGGAAACAAGTTGTCCAATCACCATATCTATTATCCCCACACGCCGTAACAGTAAGTATCGTCGAGCCGTTTCCCCTCTCAATCCCCAACTCCGGGTTTTCGACCGCTCGATCTGTCTAGGGAGGCGCAGTGGTAGGCGCAGAAGTGGACGTCGTGGCAGGCGCCGAAGTAGACGCAGAGGTAGACGCCGCGGTAGTCACCGTTTGATTATCCGGAACATATGTATTATCCAAATTCTCCGGAATCGGAATTTTATGCAGATCCTTCCAGAACTCAGGCCAGTTGTAGCTGTATATACCTATGGAATCGACAATAGTCAGCTTTTATCCGTGGCGCTTTGTTAGAGAGACATTGTATGCGCAAAGGTGAAGCCGTTTCTCAGCTCATGGATATACGCACCAACCAGAGTGTGAAAGCCCGACTGCCTGCTGAGCCGGTAACGGCCATTCTGGAGGTCGAAATGCAAGTTACTGTTTTTTGTAACACCTTCGTCAATAGCGGCCCTGAGTATGGTCAAGGTAAGTTGGGCATTGGACTGGAGTTTACGCATTATCGCGTTGGTTTGAACGGATGTGAGGGCAGGCATTTTGGGTGGAGTCGATATAGTGGAATCTGGTAAAATTATGAAGATTGATATTTGGCAGTGGAAAGGTGCTCGTTTCTCGTCTTCGAATGTATGGTAGAGAGAAGTAGTGTACACTCATATTGAAAGGAGCTTTTATACTGCGATTGAGTCAGATATGTCTAGGAACAAATGACTGTACCTACAAAATGAGTAAAGGAGTGACTGTTCTCAAGTCTTGGTAGAGGACGATCTGAGTAACATGGCTATAGCCCGAGCGGGAAGTGCCAGTCACGCTGTTGATTGATACCAAACGGGCTCTTTGGGCGCAGGGTCTCACAATAGACATGGCAGACTAAGCGTGCTTCTTTTCTGCCACATGTAAGCTGCGTGCAATTTCATGCGTGCGCTCACAAGGACCTGAGCACAGTGTTGGCGGAGAGTTGGAGGACGCGCTCGAACCCCTCGCTCCTACCATTGCGGGTCACCCCAACCACTATCCGGCCGTTCCAGATGCGCGTCCATATCCTGACTCCCATAGCCTTCTTCATCTTCAATCTTGTACTCTTGACTCCCACAGTCGTAATCTCCAATCTCGTCCTCCTGACTCCCCCACTCATCTCCTTCTCCACACTTCTCAGCTGCCCCTTTTCCAGCCCTGCGCAGAGCAAAAGCGTTAGCCTCCGCAAGCATCTCACCCAACCAATCGAACAACATCTGCCCAGCTCTACGCACGACGCCAAAACGAAAGCAGCGCGAGAGGACCACGTTACCGCCAAAGCTGTCGAAGACACGTGAGAACAGCGACCCAGGCGGCGCCATCCCCTCCACATCATCTTCCTGTTCCAACACACAATCTCCATCGTCGTCCTGCTCCTCCCCCTCTACAACCAACCTCTCCTCTTGCTCTCTTACCTCCTTCTCTAGTCTCTCCCGTTCTATAACCTGCGGCGAAACCCATATCTCCGTATCATCTAGCTGCTCCTGCAGCCCACAAATCCCCCCTTCCACCAACCCCAGTAACCCCCCATAACCCTCCCTCTTCCCCTTTACCGCCCACTCCAACTGAATACCCTTACCAGTCGGGGTAGGGAATGTATGCGCGAAATAGTTCCTATCACGTCTGATATCACTCGCCGCGCCCAGCGGATCCGGTAAACCAAACGCGTGACAACCCCAGTTGCTATTCACAGCGCGCAGGTTCTCGTTGATGGCGATGTGGTGCATAGCGAACTCATTTTGGACTCTTTCCAACTCCGTGAAGAAAGGAGACTTACGCGTTGCAGTCTTCTGGACTTCGGGCTCGAAGCTGGAGTCTCTGCGCGAGTCGCTTTGGGTATGTGCATTGGGGTTTGGTACGTCGGTGACGGTGTCTTCCCAGGGGACGTTTGAAGGGGTAGTCTCAGTGTCATGGATACCCGCCAACGACGTCCCTGAATAAGTGTCCAAGATAGCTAGGTTAGCAGTGAGGTGTTTGCGGAGGGTGTAGAAGTATTCTAGGGAGAGGAGGACGGATGTACGGGATACGGGGGTGGGGTGAGTTTCTTGGGTTAGTGTGCCGCTGGGGGAGAGGGTGTAGTAATGGATTGTTGCACGGTTATTTGGGTAGTTTGGATCGAGGTCTTGGATCTCATCGTGGGTTAGAGAGGGGAGAGGCGGGAGATTAGCTAGGTCGTCTAGTGCGATGGCTTCTGTGATGTTGATATCTGGGCTTGGGGGTGGAAATGGGCAGTCAACATTAAGATCTGGTTTTGGTGTAAGAGTAGCGAGGGTTGCACCAGAGGGCTCTAGAGCCATACTAACCACGGTCGCCATAGTTGTAACTCCAAACTTTGGTCTGATTCGCATTGAGCTTGATTTGTCGTACATACTCAAATAAACATATACATCCCTTGCGCGCACTGTGAGCAGAACGACATTGTCGGCGTATATCGTCCTTCTTGTAATTTTTCAGACACTGTGGAGTAAGAAGACCAGAGCTCCAAGGACGACAGTCCAATGGAAGCGCTTCGTCGTCATCTTACTGACGTCCTTCTCAGTGTCGTGCTGGCGCCCAAGCTCAGATCAGACCAAGCTCCAACGTTCATCCCATGCCAAATGGTCTTCGTCCGAGAACCACATTGTACTATTCCTGTTCGTCTTCGGCCTCACTGTCGTTATGAACCATGCCATGTAGTCCTTCCGTCTCAGCCCCGATCAGAGGAGCCCTCTCGCCCTCGTGACGCGCGAGATGGCCTCCAATACTGACAGCCAGAGTACTAAAGCCATGGATCATGGTACTTCCGAGCACAATGAAGCAAACAAGGGGCCAGATCATAGTAGCTGTCCGTTGTCGCTCCACGGGCAGATCTTTGGGCGGATGTGGAAGGGGTAGGGATGTACCAGTCTCGAGCTGCGCGCGGGCTTCGATGGCGAGGAAGAGGGCACCGACACCCATTGGTCCGAAATGTCCGACAAAGAGGGCTTCAGTTGTAGTCTTTACGGATGGCAACATTTTCGTCTTGAAAAGCGTGAAAACGATCGGAATTCTGCGGAAGAGGAGGATGAGTGCGAGCAAAGCAACCAGTCGGAGAGGGGTGATTCCGTCTACCGCGTTAAAGCTCGCCCAAGGTATCATTGCGCCGAAGAAGATGAAGAAGGCCGAGTTGATCAGCAAGTCGATGATAACGGGTAGAGCGGTTCCTTCTGTCGGGTTCTTCTGGTTGTGCGCGAAGCCACGTCCTGCGAAAAAGGCCACTAGGAAGTCGTCGACTCCAAGAACCGATGCCAGTCCGATAGAGAAGATGGCCAGGAGGAGGTAGAAGGCCAGGTAGGAGGCTCGGCCCATCCACTCGCGGCTGTGCGAGAACCTGTACAGGCCGTTGAAGATATATCCCAGGGCAATACCAAGGAGAACACCGACCACGCACTGGTATAGGATAGTAACGAGGAACCATTTCGTGAAAAATCCTTTAGCGGTGTTCTTCAAGAGAAGACTCAACCCCAGATACAAGAACGGGAAGGATATGCCGTCGTTGCAACCACTCTCCGCGCTCAACAAGTCCCTGATCCGCTTGGGTACTCGGGTGCTAAATTGGCTGTTTGACAGAACGGAAGCCGCGAGAACAGGATCCGTGGGTGTGAGACAGGCCGATATCGTCAAAGCAGTCTGAAAGTCCGTGTCGAAAAGGAACATGATGAGCATTCCGCACATCAGCCAGCCGAACGTCATGACAGGCCCGAGAAGAACAAGCAGGGCGCGCCATTTCTTTTGGAGATAGCCTGCGGGAAGCTCCAGACCGACTACGAAGCACTGAATCCCGACGATGAGACGCGTCAGTTCTTGGATAATTTCATCCTGCGACGGTTAGTATTGTTTGTTTGTGTGAGGAGCACACTTACGGAAAAGCCCCATTCATATGGCCTGAGGAGGTTGAGAGCGCGTGGTCCGACGATCTGTCGGTCTCGTTAGAAAAAGATTCATTCTTAAAGATGTCCGTACTTACGATACCAAAAAGCGTGGCTAATGGCGGTTCTGAGAGATGCAGGCGGTTCCGGATCATAAGCGAAAACAACGCGTACAGGATGAGAAAGAAGGTTAGGGTCACATAGGTAACGTGCGGGCCTGTGGGCTCGAGTTGAGACCAGACCATGATGCTTTACTGTTGGTTAGAGGCACGCGTGCAATTGTGGTGAGTGAGTTGAAGTCTCTGCGAAGCTTGGGCGAGAGTAGGCGTTCTATGATCGCCGTGACGTCGAAGGTAAATGGCGAACTCTGAACACCGCTAGGGAGGAACGCGCTGGAGAGACAGCGGAGATTCACGCACGAAAACCTCGAGCGGCGAATATCACGGGGGACCTGGAGTGCAGGATTAATGGCGCGTTGGATCAGGTGTCGAGCGCGAAGGATCACGCTGCATGGAGGTGCGCATCGATGACGAAGGTTGGCTGGATTTGGCATTGCGCTCGGACCGTAGTTGCCGGAAGTGGTGGCACCTTGCATGTTGAACCACACTACCAAGCATTCCAAGGTTAGGTGGGACGGACGTTTAGAAAGAGCAGCAGAGGAAGAACAGTAGAGATGGCGTGCGAGTGCATGTTTGCGGAGAATTATCGCCCTATCATATGTATGCACCAGTCCCGAATGCGATATATGCAGCTAGGTCAAGCCACTATCTCCACGTGAGCACGCGAGGTAATCAATTCCTCTACTTTTGTGAATCCAGCGCCTCCCTTGAATATGGATATGCCCAACGCCGCTCCCACGCGGTGATGCTACTCAATCTGGCCATGCCAGGCGCCTGCTATTAAAAATACATGCAAATTACAGTGAAACCAATGGATGTGATTATGGGCATTGTCGGCTATGCGTCGTCGGGTGGGTTGTTGAAGAAAGCGAATCGTATCCTGTGGAGCTGGGGAAGTTAGCAACGCTTCGTCTGAAGAATGTTGGGGTGCATACCGAGGGGAGCTTTGGAATGACGACGGCTATGGTCGCAAAGCAGTTGATGAGGAAATACGTCAGGTTGTAATTCGTGTAGTGCGTGCTGACGAGAAACAGCACAATGGGTACGCTGAGAAGGAACTTCTTGGCTGGTGTGTATTGTTCGCCGTTGTCAATCTGTTCCCACATGTTCAAGTTGTCGTAGGCGCCCGAGTTGAAGTCAAAGGGCACACCGCGCACGTAGTGGAACATTAGGTAGGATCCCGCCACGTACGAAAGGTTGACTAGGGTCCATGATGCTTCTTGCGACATGCCGGGGATGATGTCGAACAGAATCTTGCCGAAGAAGATGAGGACAAAGTGGATAGCCCAGGCGCCTGGAGGTGTTAGCCTGAGATACAGAATAGCAACACATCATCTCTATCTCCTGTAATGTGTATGCGCGGTATCTCGTGCTCACCCTTTGCATTCACCCATTCGGCGTTGAGGTTGGGCAGGGCGGACTGGTCGCTCAGCTGCTCCAGAGACTCGGGGGGCTCTTTGTAGACAAGACTACTGCTACGTCGCCTCCTCGCGTCTTTTGCAGCATCCAGCGACATCTTGGAGTAGGACGAGGACGAGGGCGAGTCTGATGGGCGAGACCGCGGGTCGCCAGCAAAGCTCAGGCGGGAGGTGCGATTGAGGAGTATGGGTGACAGTTTGGCGGTATTGCTGGGTTCGTCGGGCGGCCGGGCGGTGGAAGAGGGGGATATATAATCGCGTGCGCGGGCTGAGGCTATGGGAGAGCTGCCACGGGCAATGGCATGTCAGTGAGGTCCTAAAGGAGCAAGGCGGCGACGTGGGCTTTCAGGGTCTTCTTACTGAGTACGCAATACCTTCCGGGGCGTCCGAGCTTTTGGCGTTGAGCGATTGGCGCAGAGAAGGGCGTGTAGACGGTAGCGATATGGCGAGGCAGCGGGCAGAGAAGAGGGGACTGTTGGCAGAGGAGGAGGGAGTGAAGCCTCAGTCGGCAGGCGTGAAGACGGAGGCGTGGCAGGTCCACATGATGCTCCCAAAGACCGTGTTCCTAGCAATCACCGAGGCCGTGCCCTGAGCGCAACCATACAACTCTAGAACCAGACACTACCACCTCCGTCCGCCAAAGACCCTCCAACCACCACTCTTTTCACCACCATGGCCTCGGAAGCGCCGCCCCCGATGGAGCCTCACGCCCTCGCCCCTGATGCACCGCCCGCCGATGCACCTGATGCGACGCAGAAGCCCGTCAAGCGCTCGTGGAGGTATGACGCGCCGACGGATTAAATGCAGTCCCCAGCTAATGTGCATAAAAGACGAAAATACCGCAAGATGCGCATCAGGTTCGAAGAGGCCATGAACGACAGCGACTCCCTCATCAAGCAGGAGTGGAAGGCCATGGGCACCGCCCGCCGCCTGCAGGAGAACAACGACCAGATCCTCGACATCCTCCTCGAGCTCAACGAGCAGACACGCGTCAATCCGCGCCTGCGCTTCGACCTGCGCAACCTCTCCGCCGCCGACACCGCCGTGCCCTCGCTCGAAGTCGTCCCCGATCCAGAAGTGGTGAAAGCGCAGCTGCAGACGCTGAGAGAGGACCTGGCCGCCAACACCATCACCCCCGAGGAGTACGCGACACGGGCTGACCAACTGCACTCGTCGCAAGCCATTCAGCAGACGCTCAAGTCGCTCGCTAGCCTCGAAGCCAAAGTCCCCCACACGACGCGCGCCGACCTGCCCGACCACCCCGTCGAGGGCATCGACCTCAGCGAGCATGCGCCGGGCTACATGTCGCCCACCCACGAAGACGAATACCTCCTCGCTACCGACCAACTCCTCGAGCAGCCCGGCTTCGACCAGGCCCTCCAGCAGGGTCGCCCCGTCCGCCTCGCATCCGCCCAGCCCCCGCTCAGCGAAAAGGATCTTACCGTGCGCAACCCAGACAGCGTCTACAACTGGCTGCGCAAGCACCAGCCCCAAGTCTTCCTGCAAGACAAAGACGCGGCGCATCACGAGAACCTCTCCGAAAAGTCTGCCGCGCCAAAGACCAGCAAGGCCAACGCAACCAAGGTCAAACGCGAGTCAAACATTGGCGGCGGCGGCACACCCGCTCCCCGCGACCACGACGATGAAGACTCAGCCGCCCCCGAGACCGGCAAGGGACGACGCAAGACTGGTGGCGGCGACGACGACACCGCCTACCGACCCAAGGGTGGAAGCTCTCGACCCGCAAAGCGTAAGCGGGAAGAGGGCGAGACGCCTGCGGGCAAGGGCAGCAGGAAGAAGAGTCGTCCAAGCGCGGTCACAGGGCCAGCTGCTTGACCTGCCTGCTAACAGCGCGCATAGAAGAGATGGCCTA